TATTTCTTAAAAAATCACTGAACCAGGAGTATGACATGGACCCGGTCCGGTTCCGACCCGGTTGGGTCAGATCCCTAGAACCAGAACCGGGCTCTTACTAAATTTATGTAAGCGGGCGAAGCCTGGTGCCACAACCAATAGATCAACCAGCTCCATAGCTGACCATGAGCAGATCTGGTTTGTTTAGGATGGGGGGAGACACCAGCTGATCTGAAAAAAGAAAGACGTTTGAGATTGAACAATGGCTTTCTGGGAATATATTCCTCCAAACCTGGCCATGTTGTGTGTTTTGGACAGAGGGAGACCAGGGTCAGTCAGAAAAAAAAGACGTTTTAAATTGCACAAGGCATTTTGTAGTTTTGCTCCCCCCCTCTGTCTGACTTTGACGTTTCCGGCCGTTTTCGGCGAAATTCGCGCGTGCACGCTCGCGCATACGCGCGCCCGTGCCTCGGGAGTGTTAACTGATTGGTCCACATGAGTGGCAAATGATTCTGAGTCATTTGCTGATAGCGGACCGTGATCGGTTCGCGTGCACGCGCAAGCTCCTGCGCGCACGTGACTCGGGACAAGTGGGGGTCCGGGGGTCCGGGGGTCCGGTTCCGACCCGGTTGGGTCCGATCCCCACGAACAGAACCTCCAAACCTGTCCATCTTGTGTGTTTTGGACAGAGGGAGACCAGGGTCAGTCAGAAAAAAAAGACGTTTAAAATTGCACAAAGCATTATGGAGTTTTGCCCCCCCCCCCCTGTCCCGTTTTGACATGCATTGAGCTCCTCTGATGTCCGCTGGTCAAAACGGCAGACTGACAGAGTGATTTGAGTGCTGCTTGGCGGGTCTGTGTGTGTGAAAAGCCCTGTTCCTGTCTGACTTTGTTTGACATTTCTCAATGTTTCCAGCCGGAATTCGCGCGTGCACGCGCGCGCATACGCGCGCCCGTGCCTCTGTACTGATAACTGTTTGGTCAACATTAGTGGCGAATGATTCTGAATGACTTTTAACGTAGTTTCGGCCGCCGATCGCGGACCGTGATCGGTTCGCGTGCACGCGCGCGCTCCCGCGCGCACGTGCCTCGGGACAAGTGGGGGGGGGGCACATACGTGGGTAGGAGACAGTTCGGCGAACCACCGAAGTCCGTGAGAATGCGGAAGTAAATAGAGAAGTCTGTGTGTGTTTGCTAGTGTAGCCGAGCGTTCTGGGTTCGTCAATGTGGGGCAACTGGATTTATATATATTTATCTTGCGAGCAATAACCGGACAGGAGACGTGACAGCGTGTTCAGCGGTAACCCCGCTTCTCCACTTTATTCTTCTTTTTCTCGGCAAACACCAAAACACTCACGCGCTCCCCCTGCTGTCAACCCAGTGAACTCTCGCTCTCTGGAAGGGACACGCCTTCTTATCCATTCTAACACCGAACAGTATGTTACACACGTCCCCCCCTCAACAAGAAACGTCCCCGTTTCACCTGAAAAGCACCTGGGACACAGCAACTATATTCACAAACACGGGGAGAAAAAAATAACTCCTCTTACTTCCCAGTCTTTGTGACCCCAGCAGAACCTTAATATAGACACACCCTTATTCCCATAAACAGCACCTGAAATGTAACCATTTTAGACAGTGGCAAAAAAAAATTCAAACATTACCAAACATTCAGGCAACACCTGGTAGTCACAACAATAAAAGAAACAGCATTAAACAGAAAACCTTTTCCATTTTCAATTTTTTTTTTCAATACTTTTCATTATATTAACTTTCCACACTCGGTGGAGCTGTTCAGCCCACCACATCAGAACTTCAAAACCTGACAAAGTCCTGCAAATGGGATGGAGGTCGCACCACTCGCCCGCTGCGAGACTGGAGTTCTGGCAAGGTCCCACACAGTCCATTATCCATCTCACCAGTCTGAGGCTGATCTCCGTGCTGGGGGAGCGAAGACTCGACCCCAAGAGGAGACCTCACAGCAGCCGGAGTCGGAACCGCCTGTGCAGGCAATGGTAGAGTGTACAGTTTCAGTCTGTCATGATGGACCACCTGGGCTCGCTCCATCGGGTCGAGGGCGCTGACGATTCGATACGTCAGTGCAGACTCTCCACCAGAGGCCAGCACCTGCACCACCCGATAGGGACCCTTCCAGTGGGGTGCCAGCTTCATACGGCTTTCTGGGGGGTTGTTAAGCCACACTAGTGCACCTACCATATAGGGACGGTGGCAGCTACTCTGGTCATGGTACAGCTTCTGCCTTTCATGCGCCTCAGCAGAGTTAAGCCTGGCTGTGCTGAATGCTGACTCCAGCCGCTCCGCAATGGTGGAGGCATAATCCATCAGAGATCCAGTGCCCCAGAAGTCAGGAGCACTAGCAGGCACTAGCACATCTGCAGGAACTCGAGCCTCACGTCCATGCATCAGGTAGAAGGGGGTAAACCGGGTGCTGGAATGCTTAGAGGTGTTATATGCAAAAGCAACATGCTTCACATACGTGTCCCACTCACCGCCATGAGAAAGCAGCAGCTTGGCCAGCTGATCAATCAAAGTCCGGTTGTGACGCTCCACCATGCCATCCGATTTGGGGTTATAGGCTGTGGTACGGGTTTTCTTAATCCCCAGCCGTTGGCAGAGGATCTGGATCACTTCTGCCTCGAACTGACGGCCCTGATCACTATGCAGGATTTCGGGGACCCCATGCACCAACACATAATCCTCAAAAAGGCAGCGTGCAACAGAGTGTGCTGTCTGGTTAGGCAAAGCATACAGGGAAACAAACTTAGTAAAGTAGTCCTCTACCACTAAAATGTACCTGTTGCCTCGAGATGTCATGGGCAGCTCCAGGATATCTGCGGCCACCCGCTGTAGAGGGCGGCTTACCTGGGCCCCTCCCATAGGAGCCTTGGGCCCTGGGACTGGGCTCCTGCGAGTCTGACAGGCCCTACATTGCTCACACCAACGCCTTATGTCCCTCAACATGAAGGGCCAGTAGCAGGACTGTCTGGCCTTTTCCCACACACGCTCTGCCGAAAAGTGCGCAGCAGCTGGCCCCCCATGCAACTGTTGGAGGAGCTCCGGCACCATGGATGCAGGGACCACAGTCTGAACTCGCTTCTGTCCTGTCGTGTCAGTGACCACTGTGCGGCATAGCAGGCCCTCCATCACAGACAGACGGTGAAACTCGGTCCACAGCTTCCTCAAACCGGCGGAGCAATCCCTGGGGACTTTACGAGGCCGTCGCACCTTGCCTTGCTCCAACCATGCCAACACAGTACCGATGTCAGGGTCCTCACGCTGCAGTGACTGCAACTCCGCTCCACCACCACAGAGTGAATAGACCAGAAGTGACTCTGCTTCCACATCCGCGGATGGAGAGTGGTCAGACGTCTCCAGTGAGGCCACAGTAACAGGTCCAGTTGCAGGAGCATTTGGGTCGACAGGGTCAGGGGACACGGGCCGGCGGGACAGAGCGTCAGCATTTTTGTGGCGTGCGCCGTCCCTGTGCACCATGACCCAGTCAAATGGGTCCAACTCCAGCACCCACCTACTTCTACGTCCAGTGGGGTCATTATCGATAGCCATGTGCCTGAGGCCCAGCAGAGGGCGATGGTCCGTGATGATGGAGAACGCAGACAGCCCCACATAGTGTTTAAACTCACGCACAGCCCACACCACGGCCCATAACTCTCTGTCAAAGGTGGACCATCTCTTCTGTGTGTGTGTGAGAGCCTGGCTGGCATAGGCTATCACCTTCTCACAGCCCTCTTCGTCCTGCGCCAGCACCGCCCCAACAGAGTCCTTAGAGGCATCAGTGTACACCTTGAAAGGGAGTGCAAAGTTGGGCAGCGTCACCACAGGAGAGGATGTGAGCACCTGCTTAAGGTAGGTGAACGCAGCCTCACACTCAGCCGACCACTCAAATGGCACATTCTTCCCAGCCAGCCGATTCAGTGGTGCTGCATGTTGGGAGAAATTGCACACAAATCTCCGGTAATAGGAGCATAGGCCCACGAAGGCCCTTACCTCTGAAGGGGTGCGGGGAGTCGGCCACGTCCTCACCTTGTCCGTGTTCCGTGGGTCAGGGCGGAGACCATCCCTGGAGACCACATGGCCCAGGAAAACGACATGGTCCCTGGCAAAGTGGCATTTTTGGGGATTCAGCCTCAGACCTGCTCTCTGGATCCTAGACAGGACTTCATCCAAATGAAGGAGATGGTCATTGAATGTACGGCTGTAAATCAGTATGTCATCCAAATACACCATACAAATGTGCCATGGCAGGCCCCTGAGGATGAGCTCCATCATCCGTTGGAAGGTGGCGGGCGAGTTTGTCAGACCCATAGGCATGGCCCGCCACTGATACAGGCCCCGTCCGGTCGTGAAAGCCGTTTTCTCACGGTCCTCCTCAGCCACCTCCACCTGCCAGTAGCCATTTGAGAAGTCAAGTGTGCTGAACCAGGCTGAGCCAGCTAGAGCGTCCAGGCTATCATCCACTCGTGGGAGGGGGTGTGAATCTTTAATCGTCGCTGCATTCAGACGACGATAATCGATGCAGAACCTCCACTGCCCCCCTTTCTTTCTCACCAGCACCACTGGAGAAGCCCAGGGACTACAACTCTCCTCCACGACGCCGTCTGCTAGCAGTTCAGCCACTTGACGTTCGATCTCTGTCCGTTTCTCGGGTGATGCACGATAAGCACGCTGCTTCACAGGGGGTGAGTCCCCAGTCCTGATGTGGTGTTTGATCAGCGTGCATTTTCCCGTGTTCCGGCCATCTAAGTTGAACACGTCAGTGAACCTCTGGAGCAGGTCAGCCAGCCTGGCCCTTTGCTCGGCCGTAACAGGAGACTCCTCCAGGGAGACAGGGCTCACTGCGGCTGGCGGCACAGTTGGATGGTGGTCTGCAACATGAGGTGGCACGACGATGTCGTCCTTTTTGAGGGGGTAAAACTCACCCAGGTGTAGTCCCCGTTTAAGTTCAACCGCCTCCCCCGTGGGATTGAGGATGCGGGCTGATGTCACACCGTTTCTCACACTGTTCACCGAGCGAGCAACCACCAGGCCAGTTGTATCGGGAATGTTAGGCTCCAGGTATCCCTCAAAGTCTGCAGCAGGCCGACCAGTCCCAGCCGGAGTGAGAATATTCACTGGTACCAGAGCCTCACTCAGTGGGGGAATGGTCCAGACATCAGCGAGGGACACGTTACAACAGCTAGGGACTAACTCACCAGTCTGAAGCAGGGGCACGGACACATCCCATAGTTGTAACACACCCTGCCCCCAGTCCAGCAACGCACAGTTCGGAGCCAGGAAATCCAGTCCGAGCAGGACACACTGGGTGGATTCCCGTAGCACATGGAAAGTGTGCTGCCAGTTTGTCGGGCCCAGGCGGAAGGTGATTTCACAGGTACCGAGTGTGTCCAACATTTGTCCATTAATTGCCCTAGAGTCAATAAAGTTCCTTTTCATGGGCCTATTTCGCAGGGCAGGGACTGACATACGGAAGTCCGCACTTATCAGTGACACCGACGCCCCCGAGTCCACCAACATGGGGACCTCGGTGCCTTCGACCACACCTCTGACAAAAGAAGTTGGGTGGCCAGTACAGTCCATAAGCGCCATTATCTTAGAGGAGTCATGGTTCAAGGGGCCCCCTATGGGAGTGGCTGGCATTTGGGCCTCAATACCAGCTATTGGTCGTTTCCCTGACGGTCATTAACAGCATCCCGCTGTCGTGGCAGGAAGTGCACACTACGCCGTCTGGGTTCATCCTCCTGTCGGGCACGCCAGCTCGGGCTAGGACTCCTGCCCCCGAGCGGCCTCGAGGTGGAGGACATCCCTGAGCCGCGAGGCTGGAAACCCCTTTGGCGTGGGAACTGTCCAGACTCAGGGGAGCGACCACGTTGCTCCTCCCGAGAGCTCCTGGACCGGCAGCCCCACTCACCACAGGTACAGTGACAGCGTTCCCCAGAGGGTGAGCGAACGCTTCGCCCCCTGTCACTATTCCAAGCCCTCAGCCTCTGATTGTCCTCATAAAGTTCTCTCATTTCCACCCTCATGGAGTACATGTCCTCAGTCAGCTTCTCTACAGCCCTCTGAAGACCCCCGGGGACTGATACGGACCGGACAGATGGATTTTCACCACCACAGGCAGCCGCACTCACATAATCTCTCTGTAGTGCAGCTCTGGCGTTCTCACAGCGCTCCGCCACGTGCAACGCCTCCTCCAGGTCCGTGGCACCCATTTCCAGACACTTGGCCTTCAACGCCGGGTCCAGACCAGCCAGAAAGCGTCGAAACTTTTCCTCTCTCTGTGCCACATCACCATAATCCGGAAAGGCCTCCGCGACCAGCCGGCTCACGTCAGCAGCGTACACCTCCAGACTCTCACCAGGAGCGCGCGCCCGGGCTGTCAGGCTGGCTCTGAAGCGGTC